GAGGGTAAAAGGAACATGCAGTTGGGAAATGCCCTGGGCTGTGTTGGGCCTGTACCTAAGTGCGACTTCTTCCTTACCCAATCCTGCTTCCTCCTAATTCTCTTCAAAGGACATTGAAACCTAGTAAAGCTGGCACCCCTAGCTCTGTCTCACTGCATGGGAAAAACAAGCTGTGACAATAATATAAAGGGGCCTAAAGATGTAATTAGTAAAAGGAGGCAAAATGATTACAGCATGAGACAAACTATGAAGCACATACTAAGCCCTCAATAAAATGTTTCCTGACTCGAACTCTGCAGGAAGAAAAGCAAATGGACGTGGTAACTGTGTAGTATTTCACTGAGAGAGGGTGTGGTCTGAAAAAAGAGGATGAGAGGATGGAGTAGAAAATAATTCCAAGAGCAATAATCTTGCCTTTAGAATGCAAGCTCCTTGAAGTCATACATTTCGCTATTCAGAGCTAAGTCACATGACCCCTCCTACCTGCAAAGGAGGATGGAAGACACCTACCTGCATAAAATTCAGGAAGTTCTGTTACTAAAAGAGGGAATGGGAGAATGGATAACGGGGTACAGTCAGCATTCTCTGACACAGAGAATCCACTTCTGCTTTTACCACAGCATCCTGTCTGTGCATTTATTTATAATATGGTAACAAATAATATGTTCTATTCTTAAGCTTATCTTTATTCACATGAGCTGACCTTCTGTCAAAATAAAAAGAGTAAAGTGAATAAGTAATGGCAATATAAGAATACATCCCACTGACTAAAATACAAATCCAGGAATCCACACTTAATAAATAAATGAGTGGAGGAATAAATAAGAAGAGAAAGATCTTCCCTACAGCACAATAGCAATTAATACATCATTAAATAATTAGAAAATTACCACTCAGCAACCATCAGGGTGACGGGTATATGGGAGTTCTTTGCACTATTTTTTAAGTAGGTTTACAACTTTTAAGTAGGTTTGGAATGGCTTAAAAATAAACATAAATTTTTTAAAATATCACTTCATTGGCTGCATAAAATCCTACATCATTTGCAAGATTTTTTCTTTTTCTCGGCAACTTGCATCATGCGTAGTTTATCAGAAAAGCTGTGAAAGGCACTGTCTGCTACTGCGTCAGTGGACAGGAATAAACATTAGTATTAAGTGGAGAATGATGCCTGAATGAAGATTAATGGTACATGGGGCCAGTTCATTAGTGAGTATTTTTGTGCTAGAATGACTTTTATGTCCTTATACAATCTTACCTGTGGAGCTGCCTATTTTTTTAAGTTAACTCATACTGTCTCTTTTAATGTCAGTACTATTATCTTTTTTTCACAGATGATGAAAATGAGGCTTAGAGCTGTGAAGCTGTGATTCATAATAAGGCCCTTTCACCATACCTGAGTTTATGCTAATGAAGTGACTCTTGGGGGGCAGGGGCTGGTTGTCAGAGGAACCAACATTAGAGCTGAAGCTTTTAATCACTGAGGAGCAGAGAGGGTATAAGGGTTGAGATAATCACCAATGATCAGGGACTTAATCATGCCTATATAATGGGGCCTCCATAAAATATCTAAAACAAACAGGTTTAGAGAGCAGTAAGGTTGGTAAATGCACCCAAGTGCTGGGAAGATGTCACACCCGAAACTCCATAAGCATAGAAGCTCCTGTGTTGGGCGCCCTTCTGGAGCACATCTTATGTACCTCTTCATCCAGCTGTTCATTTGTATCCTTTATAATATCTTTTATAATAATCCAGAAATAGTAAGTAAAGTGTTTCCCTGAGTTCTGTGAGCCATTCTACCAAATTATCAAACTCGAGGAGAGGGTCTAGAGAACCCTTGATTTATAGCCAGACAGTCAGAAGTACCCAGACTTGCAATTGGCATCTGAAGTGGAAGACAGTCTGTGACTCTGAGCTCTTAACCAGTGGGGTCTGTACTAATTCAGTGTCAGGACTGAGTTAAACTGTAGGGCACCCAGTTAGTGCACACACGGAAGTAGAGAATTCTTTGGTGTGAAGACCCGTAGATTTGGTATCAAATTTTAAAATACATGATCTAAATAATAACAAAGTATTTGAGCAAAATGAAAGCTATCTCATTCTTTTAGATTCATGACAGACATGCTTATTGAGAGCAATAAAGAGGTGAAAGAAAATAAACTGCCACATGAATCCCTCCTACCTGCGTCTGCCTCATTGCCCGTTCCACTCGGCGCGTGCTTCCTCTCTCAAGTTTTGTCCGCAGGATCAAGGCTGATGTCTGAATGGCCCAAAACTTTGGTTGTGAAAGCAAACACTGATGGAGAAAAATAAATAAGATAAAAATCACAGAAAGAAGGAATAAGCTGGAGGGATCCCACTCTGAATAGAACAAAATAAATTATTTCAAAAATATCAGCGTACAGCTGAATGCAGATTTGAAAATCACAGTGAAAAATAATAAAACGTGTGCTTTCAAATATTCTTGTGAAGAATATGGTCATTGGAGCAGAGTCATTACTTAACCTGGTTGACTTAGTCTATTGAATAAATCACTTAAAGAATAAATCATAATCTTCCAGATAATCTAAGCAGTGAAAATATATCAGACCTTAAACTAATAAATCTTTTTATTTCACAGATTACAATATATGCGAGAAAATAAACTGCATAACAATAAATGTAGAGGGAGTGGGTGGTGGTAGTAAAGGGAAACTGTTAAAGGGATAGCGGAAGAAGAAGCGTAGGCAAAGAATACACAAATACAAGTAAAGGAGGAGAGTGCAAAGAAGTGTTCACTAATTCATCTGAGCACCTGCTCCGTACAAGGCAGTACACAAAAGGCCCCAGGGACAGGGTGGCAGGCAAGACAGACAAGGCCCCTGACCTCACAGAGCTTACACTAATGCAATATCTGTTAGGTAATCTTATTCTCCTATAATTAACTCTGCAAACTAAACTATTTTTATTTCCTTAAAATATAGTTTACAAGACTAGTGCACAACCTTATCTTGTTAGCCTCCATTACTTAAATCTACAGAGTGAATTTGCCAACATAATAGGTGTATATGGCACTATAAAGACCTAAAGGAAATAGGAGACATTAAAAAACTAATTCTTTAAAATGTGTAACACTATTTGACAGGAGATTTTATTATAAAATATGATTTCAAGAATTTCCAAAAGAAAGAACTGTTTTCACTAAGTAAACCTGCAAACGAATTCTACTACCTACAGTGGGTGGTAGCACTGCCTTTTTCTCTTCCCCCTATTCAGGGGACTGCCATCCGCAGCCTCCTGACAACGGGACACACAGCACTCAGCATGGGGCTCTGCGGAACAATGGGAAAGTCTCCAGGTCAGGAAGAGCTGGACTGGAATCCCAGCTCCACCAAATGTGGTGATTAGCTGCGTGACCTTGGGAAGCTACTTGACCGCCCTGGTCTACTTTCCTTCTTTGTAAACAGGAATAGCCATTCCCGAATCTCACAGGGTTGTGAAGATTAAATACGAATTGGTGAAGCTTCACAAAGCCTCCCAGGTGCCCACACAAAGCACACGAGCCCCTTCCCAGACTCCTCCTACTACCCTTTCTCTCACCCTTAACAGAAAGTCACCACCCAGAGTGGGTACAGGTGATGGCGCTAAAGTCTGATGGGGGTTCGGGACACGCTACCCCCAACTAAGGGACCCTGGTATATTGAATATTTAAGGTGAAGGAGTTTGAGAAAGCTGAAGCAGGAAGCTCTCTCTGACCCCGCCCCTAGCCTTCTCCCCTGAAACAGCTCATATGAGAGGTGCCTTCTCTTTTAACCTGCGGAAGGAGCTTCCTGGCTTCTGAAGACAAATGGGAGCTAAGAAGAATCCCAGCAAACAGGTCTCACTAAGATCCCCCAGTCTACTGCCCTTCCTCATGCCCTCTGACCGCTCACATTCTCCCCTGATGCCACTCTTCATCAAACCTCGCATAAAAAATACTCGGTTAATCAACTGTTTCTTCAGGTCATTTCCTCATGAAGGCTCCCATGTCATGCAAAACCAATATTAAATTAATGTGTGTGCTTTTTCTCCTGCTAATCTGTCTTCATCAGTTTAATGATCAGACCCAGCCTGGGACCCCAAGTGGGTGGAAGAAAACTTCCTTCTCTTCACCTCCCAATTGCACTGATCTCTTTACCAACAGCATCGCAACACACGTATTACCTGGGGGCTTGCCGAGTTAAAGCCAGGCTTTCAGAAGGTTTGCACACCAAAAGGGGGGAGAAATTTTCCTCAGAAAAACAACAAAGTCAGACTGTTTTCTATGCTGGCACAAGAACAAGAGTTTGCCTGAGACTTTCATGTGAAGGGCAAGCAAGACATTCTCACTAAACACTGAAAGTAAAATGCAATCTGGCAAATAGACATTTGAAAAGCTTTTAAAGGAAGAACTGACTGGATAATGATATCACTGAAGAATGCATTTATCTTATAGCCATTTGGCTGGGAGATATAAAGACTTGGGAAAGGCTTTCTGAAAGGAGGTAGCAGCGAGGCTAGACTTAATTTATTTTATAAAACACTTCTGCTCACAAGGTAAAAATCAATCATGATACAAGACACTAGGTAAAGAAAAAGAAAACTAAACAGGAGATACGCTACAATGCTCTACTGACTTATGAAGAAAATTATATATTTTTTAAAAATTTTAGTCTAACAGTTTAGCAAGCAAACCAACAGAGAGAACACCAACCCAACTACTAGAACCTAAGCAGCAGGACAGCCAGCTGGTGAGGACTCGAGCTGTAATCTGTCCAGATGGATGGGTGAAATTGATCCAGAGTCTCTACCATGTCCCAACGAGGGTTACTGCTCTCATTCCACTGGTTTTGACCTGAAAATGACCACACACTGTCCCTGCTGGCTCTGTCTCACCTTTCAGGTCTCAGCTTAAATGCCATCTCCCCCCAAAGTGACTCCATCTCTCCCCAGTGATTCTCTACCGCTGCATCCAATTTGGAATATTACTCAGCCTTCTAAAGGAAGGATGTTCTGGTACACATGGATGAACCCTGAAGACATCAAGCTAAGTAAAATAAGTCAGACACAAAGGACAAATATTTTATGATTCCAATTGCATGTGGTACCTAGAATAGTGAAACTCATAGACAGAAAGCAGAATGGTGATTGCCAGAGGCTGGGGGTGGAAGGTGGGGGGAAGGGGATGAGGAGATAATGTTTAATGGGAGGGTAACATATTATTTACTTATTTGACAAATATAACACACACTATGTGCTGGCAAGGCACTAGGCAACGTGCTTTACAAACAATAATGGTATCTTCTGATAAAAAAGAAGTGCTTAATATGAATAGAGTCCATATTTTTGTTTTATGGTTAGAGCTTTCTTTTCCTGTTTGTCCTAAGTTCTCTAAGATATTCTATATTTTTCCTCTGAAAGCTTTATAGTTTTCACTTTTACACATTCATTCTGAAATTGATTAGTGCATGGATAATACTACGTAGGGGTTAAGACGGCTTTCTTCATATGAATACAAATCATCTGGTTTATTGACAAGCTTACCCTATCCCCACTGTATTGCAATGCCAACTTTGTCGTAAATCAGAAGTAAATGCATGCGTGGGTTTGTTTCTGGACTCTCCATCTGTTCCACTGATTGGTTTGTATTTCCTTATGTCAAAATGTCTTAATTAAGTGTTTCTCAAATGTTAAAGTACATAAGCATAACCTAGATTGTTAAAACACAGACTCGTTGGCCCCAACCCCATAGATTCTGATTCTGGGGTTGAGGTGGAGCCAGAGAAATTCCATTTCTCACAAGTTCCCAGGTGACACTGAGGCTGCCAGTCCAAGGACCACATATGCTGAGTGCTCTCTTAACTAACCCAGTGTCCTCCTGGGGCTGCTATCGGGCAGTGTCGGTGCTTGGGTGCTGCTCTTCAGCTCTGCCATACCTATTCTTAGTCCATGTGATTTTCAAAGTCAGCTTGAGTTCCACAAAACCAAAACACAATAGCAACAACAACCAAAAAATCAAACTGCTGGAATTTTGTTAGGGGCTACTTTAATTATGTAGATTAATTTTAGGAGACTTGAAATTTTAAAATACTGAGTCTTCCATGAACACAGCACATCACTTCAAGATATGGCACCTGAACTCACTCTAGGACTCAGACAAAAAGAGAAACAATGGTCATCTAACATCTGAGGAAACTGCTAACTACTTGGAATGAAAAGGTCAATGGATACTGTTTCACCTCACACTAAAAAGTGAATTTTAATATTATGACACCATATATACGCGCGCGCGCGCGCACACACACACACACACACACACACACACTAGTGGCCCGGTGCATGAATCCCATGCACGTGGATGGTGGGGTGTCCCTCAGCCTGGTCTGCACCCTCTTGCAATCCGGGACTGCTAGCTCCTAACCACTCACCTGCCTACCTGCTTGATCGCCCCTAACCTCTCTGCCTGCTGGTCTGCTCACACCCAACTGCCCCTCCACCAGCCTTCTTGCCCCCAACTACCCCCCCTTGCTGGCCTGATT